GAGACCGTGCCGAAGGGGCTGAGCGGCCAGGCCGGCACCCGGCCGAAGCTCTGCTTGATGCCGGGGATGCCGGTGAAGCCGCAGGGAATGCGGATCGAGCCGCCGCCGTCGGTGCCGATGTGCAGCGCGCCCATGCCGCTGGCCGCCGCCGCCGCGGCGCCGCCGCTGGAGCCGCCGGGGGTGCGTTCCAGGTTCCAGGGGTTGCGGGTGATCCCGGTCAAGGGATTGTGGTTGACCCCCTTCCAGCCGAACTCCGGCGTGGTGGTCTTGCCCAGCAGCACGGCGTTGTGCTCGCGCAGGCGGGCGACGGCGGGGGCCTCCTCACGCTCCGGCGCGGCCTCGGCCAGGATCTTCGAGCCGCGCCGGGTCGGCCAGCCCTTGGCCAGGATCACGTCCTTGACCGTGGTCGGCACGCCGTCCAGCCGGCCCTGCGGGCGGCCGTCCCGCCAACGTTGCTCCGAGGCGCGCGCGGCGGCCAGGGCCCCCTCGCGGTCGACCAGGCAGAAGGCGTTGAGTCGGCTGTCCAGCCGGTCGATCCGGTCGAGGGCGGCTTGCGTCGCCTCCACCGGGGACAGGGTCTTGGCGGCATAGGCCCGCAGAAGCTCTTGAGCGCTGAACAGCGCCGGATCGCTGGTCATGGTCGAGGCGATTCCCTTGAGGCCGAAGTTATGGAACGGGCGGCCATCTTGACCCCGCGCCGCGCGTCCGGGCAAGACGCCCGGCCGGCTGGGCGGGCGGGCAGGTGCCCTGTGCGGGGCGCAATGGACAAGCCGGCGGGCGGCGGGTAAGCGCTTTCGGCATGACTGCGAGCCCCCATCACGCCGAACGCCTGTCGCCGCTGGTGCGGCGCAGCGCCCTGGGCGCCATCATCCTGCACATGGTCGCCGTCGGCCTGACCATGGGGGTGATGTTTCCGATCGCCGGCCTGACGCTGGAGGCGCGCGGCCTGCCGACCTGGGTGATCGGGCTGATCGCCGGCATGCCGGCCGCCGGCATCCTGGTGCTCGCGCCCCTCGCGCCGCGCCTGGCCGGGCGCTTCGGCGCCTTCACCACCATGCTGGTCGGCCTGGCCGTCGGCTGCGCGGCCATCCTGCTGATGCCGGTTTACGACAGCCTGCCCGCCTGGGCCCTGCTGCGCTTCGTGATGGGGGCCAGCCTGGGCATTCCCTGGCTGCTGGGCGAGACCTGGATCAACGCCCTCAGCCTGGAGCAGAGCCGGGGGCGGGTGGTCGCGCTCTATGCCGCCGGGCTGTTCCTGGGCTTCGCCGGCGGGCCGATCTCCCTCGACCTGGTGGGGATCGAAGGCTTCGCCCCCTTCCTCGTCGCCGCCGGCGCGCTGGTGGCCGCGGCCTTGCCGCTCCTGCCGGTGCGCCGGCTGGCGCCGCCGCTGCCGGCGCAGCCCCGGATGAAGGTACTGACCGTCGCCCGCCTGGCGCCGACCGTGGCGGCGGCCGGCCTGCTGGCGGGCTTCAGCGAGGCGGCGGCCTACGCCCTGGTGCCGGTCTACGGGCTGCGCGGCGGGCTGAGCGAGAGCGCGTCGCTGGGCCTGCTGACGGCCGTGATCCTGGGCGGCATCGTGCTGCAGTACCCGATCGGCTGGCTGGCCGACCGCATGGCCCGGCGTCTGCTCCTGGCCGTGCTGGCGCTGCTGGCGGCCTTCGTGGCGCTGCTCTGGCCGCTGGTGCTCGCCTCCTACCCGCTGGCCCTGGCGGTGGGCGTGCTGATCGGCGGGCTGATCCTGGCCTACTACTCGATCGGCCTGACGCTGCTCGGCCAGCGCTTCGCCCTGGAGGACCTGGCCGTCGCCAACGCCGCCTTCGTGATCTGCTACGAGCTGGGCACGGCGGTCGGGCCGACCCTGGCCGGGGCGGCAATGGACCTCTGGGACCCGCACGGGCTGCCGGCCATCCTGTCGCTGGTCTCCCTGCTCTTCGCGCTGCTCGCGCTGTCGCGCTGGCGGCGGGCGGAGGATGAGCGGCGGGTCGAGACTGTGATAGACTCCGGGCCATGACGCTCCTGTCGACGACGATCCCGTGCGTGCCCCTCTTGCGTGCTGTCGCCCTGGCGGCGGCGCTGCTCGGGTTGCCGGGGGGGCCGGCCGCGGCCTTCCAGCCCGCGGCGCCGGAAGCCGGCCAGCCGGAGACGGGCGAAGCAGAGACGGGCGAATCGGAGAAGGGCCAGGCCGAGATCGGCCAGGCGGAGTCCGGTGGGCGCGAGGTCGATCCCGGCGCCGAGGCGCGCGAGCTGGCCCGGGAGTCGATCGAGAAGCTGCTGCGCGCCATGGAGCTGATGCTCGATTCGATCCCCCAGTACGAGGCGCCGGAGATCACCGAGGAGGGGGACATCATCATCCGCCGCAAGCGCGAGCCCGACGCGCCGCAGGACGGCGATCCGTCCGGCGAGTCGGAGTCCGTCCCGCCGCCCGAGCAGACCTGAGGGCCGCCGGGCGCGACTGGACAGGGCGCGCGCCGCCGGGCATGTCTTGCCGGCATGATCCATAGCCCCTTCGACTTCGACCAGCCGACCCGGCGCGATCCGCTCGGCGCCTTCGTGCCCGGCCCGCGCTTGGAGCTGGCGCCGCGCGCGCTCGGCCCGCTGAACGGCCTGACCTTCGCCATCAAGGACGTCTTCGACACCGCCGGACTGGTCACCGGCTGCGGCAACCCCGACTGGGCACGCACCCACGCGCCCGCCACGGCCAACGCGCCGGTGGTCGATCGCCTGCTGGCCGCCGGCGCGACGGCCGTGGGCAAGACCGTGACCGACGAGCTGGCCTACAGCCTGAACGGCCAGAACGCCCACTACGGCACGCCGACGAACAGCAACGCGCCGGGCCGCATCCCGGGCGGCTCGTCCAGCGGGTCGGCGGCGGCGGTGGCCGGCGGCCTGGCCGACCTGGCGCTGGGCAGCGACACCGGCGGGTCCGTGCGGCTGCCGGCCAGCTACTGCGGCATCTGCGGCCTGCGCACCACCCACGGCCGCATTCCCCTGGAGGGGATCATGCCGCTGGCGCCTTCCTTCGACACCATCGGCTGGTTCGCCCGCGACCCCGAGACCCTGGCGCGGGCCGGCGGGGTGCTGCTGCGGGCCGACCGGGACACCGGCGATTTCACCCGCCTGGTGATCGCCGAGGACGCGCTCGACCTGGCCGAGCCGGCGGCGGCCGCCGCGCTGGCGCCGGAGGTGCGGCGCCTGGCCCACCGCTTCGCGACGGTCGAGCGTGTGCGCGTCGGCGAGCCGGGCGGCGGGTTGGCGGCCTGGGCACAGGTCTTCCGCACGATCCAGGCCCGCGAGATCCAGCGGGTGCACGGCGCCTGGCTCGCCGCCACCGACCCGCGGTTCGGTCCCGAGGTGGCCGAGCGCTTCGCCTGGGCGAAGACGGTCACCCAGGCCGCCGCCGCGCAGGCCGAGTGCGCGCGCGCGGACTTCACCGCCCGGCTGGACGCGCTGATGACGCCGGAGACCCTGCTGCTGCTGCCCTCGGCGCCCGGCATTGCACCGCTCACCTCCGCCGGCGGGGCGGCGCTGCGCGAGCACCGCGACCGGGTGCTGAGTCTCACCTGTATCGCCGGGCTGGCCGGGCTGCCGCAGATCAGCCTGCCGCTCTTGCGGGTGCAGGGCTGCCCGCTGGGCCTGTCCTTGATCGCGCCGCGCGGGCGCGACCGCGCGCTGTTGACCTTCGCAGCCGAGCTGGCGCCGCAGACCGCGCCCGGTCAGCCGGGCGGGCGGGACCTCGGCCGGGCGTGACGCGACGCGCTGAAACCCCGGTCTCGCGCGATTTGCGACCGTTTGGACGCGCGTCAGCGCGTCCGCCGATCGTGAAGAATCACTCCAACCCTCTGCTCTAGACCGCGTGATCCGGGGTGATCATCATCATGAAGGGGATCGGGGGCAGATGCTCGAGGATGAGCTGGCCCAGGGCCGTCACGGTCCGGTGCTCGCTGTTCTTGAAGGCCGCGTTGATCTCGTAGTCGATGTGCTCGTGCGGCAGCAGGCTACGGTCGACATGGTCCATGAAGGTCTTGACGATCCGGACCGGAGTCTCGCTGAAGAGGTCGTCGGGTCCCTCGAAGGCATAGCGGCCCTCGCCGCCGGTGCTGGCGTCCATCATGCGCACGCTGTAAGTCGCCATCGTGGTGCATCCCCCAAGCCGCTGTCGCCGCGCGCCCGAAGCAGGCTGCGAGCGGACGCACTCGCGCAGCGGACCCGCGAAATCATACCTGGCGCCAGCACTACCAGCCTTGCATGACGGCTCTGTTGCAGCGCCGCATCTGCCGCGTTGACGGGCGCCGGCCGCCCGCCTAGCTTCCGCGCCGATCCCGCAGGATGGAAGTAGTGAAGCGATGACGAGCGAACGCGAGCTGGCGCAGACGGCCCGGGCCTGGCCCTTCGAGGAGGCGCGCAAGATCCTGGCGCGGCTCGGCGGTCAGACGCCGGACAAGGGCTACGTGCTGTTCGAGACGGGCTACGGCCCCTCGGGCCTGCCGCACATCGGCACCTTCGGCGAGGTGGTCCGCACCACCATGGTGCGCCGCGCGTTCCAGCGCCTGAGCGATATTCCGACCCGGCTGTTCTGCTTCTCCGACGACATGGACGGCCTGCGCAAGGTGCCGGACAACATCCCGAACAAGGAGATGGTCGCCCAGCACCTGGGCAAGCCGCTGACCCGCATTCCCGACCCCTTCGGCACCCACGAGAGCTTCGGCCACCACAACAACGCGCGCCTGCGCGCCTTCCTGGACTCCTTCGGCTTCGACTACGAGTTCCAGTCCTCGACCGAGTTCTATGCCTCGGGCCGTTTCGACCAGGCACTGCTGCGGGTGCTGCAGCGCTACGACGAGATCATGCAGGTCATGCTGCCGAGCCTACGCGAGGAGCGGCGCAAGACCTACAGCCCCTTCCTGCCGGTCTCGCCGAAGAGCGGGCGGGTGCTGCAGGTGCCGATCCTGGAGCAGGATGCCGAGGCCGGCACCATCGTCTTCGAGGACGAGGACGGCGCCAGGACGGAGCTGCCGGTCACCGGCGGCAACTGCAAGCTGCAGTGGAAGCCCGAC